AAGGAGAAGGAGAAGGAGAAGGAGAAGGAGAAGGAGAAGGAGAAGGAGAAGGAGAAGGAAAACAACAACAATAACAACAACGACAACAACAACAACAACAACAACAACAGCAACAAGAATAATAGAGCTCTACCGATGAATCCCTTTTTACAAAGAAAAGCAGCAGTTAGAAACCATTCTCATCTGAAATCATATTATAGTGTGAGAATGTTTTATAATAAGGATATGGAGAACAAAAATGATTGACAGTCCAAGTCAAGCCAAATACAATCGAACCTGTCCATAAAAGTCACTCAAGCCCATGGAGAAAACGTCCATTATGGACAAGTGGTCGCTGTGGACAGTGTCTGAGTTATTGTTCCTTACAAGACTTGATAAACCGAAAAAATGGTTGAATATCTCAGATCGTAATTTTATCTTCTCTTTCCGTAGCTGCAAAATAAATGTTAACTATCGTAAGAGCTTTTTGCTTTGCTTAAACGTACGTATTCCGTCTGACGATGGATAGGCAGGAAATGTTGAAGGCAAATGACCTCTATGAGCAGTTCTGAGCCCAACTTGTCACGTTAGTGGCCGTGGCTTGGCTGGACAATGTCTGTTATGGAAAAGTCAAAATTAAATGCATGTAACTATATGAAAGCACGCAAGAATATCTGAGCGAAGGCCGTTAGTACAAATGACATCTAGTGACCGCTGTGGTGGGTTCAACTGTTCTTGCTTTACGGGTACACTAAAGTCAAACTGAAATATGAGAGATATTATCTGGTCAGAGGTTCAGCTCCTATTGGATGGAGCTGCCCCAGCCCTTATCGTTTTTCCTATATGATCAGGCATGCACGATTACCCTGCCAATTTATACATAGCCTGACAACTAATGTTTTGGTCTATCTATGTAAGTGTGAAATTGCAAGAGGAAAAATCATTTATACTCTAATAAAATTAGTTTTTTTTCGTGAATGGAGATGTTTATTTTTTCGATGTGTAACCACCTCTGTCTCTCACCGAGTTCTGATTGGCCAATTCAGTTGCGATTTAAACCTGCTTTCTAAATGATCGAAATTGAGTTGATGGGGGCGTAAAAACACCTACAATAATAATAAAAAATTGCTTTCCATTAGGCCGGTCTCACTAATTTTCTATCGTTTCACCCCTTGTCACCTTTCCGAACCCTGTGTTAAACGTCAATCCTAATTTGAAGACCGGGGTAACCGTAGATGTGAAATTAATACAGGTTATGTTGAGGGTATAACTGGCTAGTCAGTTAAAAGTGGCAAAGTAGTAGATCATATCTTTCTCACACTGTTCTACCTAGTTCTTTGCCATACGTTCAACTCAGTGGACTGGTGGAAATGAAACGTAGATAAAGATCAAATGCCAATCAAAAGCCATTCATTCTATAGATGTCAACTCTGCGTCTTATTGAAGTAATCAATTTGGCAAAAGTATTCTTATACAGCTCACCTTTCTGTATTCAGATTGGAATGAGTCGACAAGCTATCGAGTAACTTTAATCTCCGTAATATTGCAACACAATTTGTTTATTAAACCAGCCGCTGTGTTTTTCTTTTTCATTATTGTAATTCGGGAACTAAAGCCAAAAATTAAAAGGTCAACTTGCTGATGAAGAGATGAAAGGTTTGGGGACTTATTATTACTATATTCGTTTGTTTAATTCAAATAGTTGAGGGTTTTTTTTTCGCTTTATGTTCTATTATTATTGCCATCATCGCTGACTAACTCTTGAAATCCATTATATTGTTTGCAAAAGACAAAGTCAACATATTAATATACATATTATATTTCACAGCACTCATAACTACTCCCTCTAATTGAAATACACTCTTCAAGAAATCCCTACCCATTCTCTTTATATATCTCTTTGTGTCACTATATTCCTATCTGTCTGTTCTCTCTCTCTCTCTCTCTCTCTCTCTCTCTCTCTCTCTCTCTCTCTCTCTCTTTCTCTTTGTCTCTTTCTTTCTCTCATAGTGTTTCTAACTCAATCCCCCATATCTCTCTCATTCTCCCCTTCTCCCTTCTTGTCTTTAGTCTATTTTTCTTCTTTTCTTCTTCTCTCTCTCTCTCTCTCTCTTTCTCTCTCTCTATCTCTGTCTGTCTCTCTCTATCTCTCTAACGCTCTCTCTCTTCTTTTTCTCTCTATCTATCTATCTCTGTTTCTCTCTCTCTCTCTCTCTCTCTCTCTCTCTCT